CGGCCCGAGCGCTGGGCGGGGACACCGCGACTCCGGTCCCGCCCCGACTGCCCCTCCCCGCCTGCGGCCGCCCACCCGCCCCATGGGACTGGTCCCCTGGTCCGCCCTTCCACCCAGCCCACCCCGGGGCGCCGACCGGATTGAGCCCCCAAGCGCCCCCGCCCGGCAGCGAGTTGCAAAGAGACCGACAGAGTGACTGCGCCTGCGCACAGCGGGCGGGCACTTTTTCTCGCTCTCCGGCATCCTTCGGCGTGTAGATTTAGGCCTTTTCTCACGCCAGGGACTGGCAGAGCGCGCAGGCGCAGTGCGCACAAGCCAGGGAGGTGGGCGTAGCTGAAGACTGCGTTAAGGGGAGTAGTGCGACCTCTTCCTGGGTTCCACCGGTGCAGAGCTTTGGCCCAGGCGCGGAAGCACTGCTGGAAGACAGAGTGGGGCCGGCGGGCCTGGCGGAGGATGTCCCGGGGTGACGGGAAGGGTCAGTGCTTCTCCTAAGGCCCGCAACCCTGCCGAGACCAGAGGGGATGCAGGGTTCTCGCAAGAAGAGGACCGAATGGCTCTAACAAGTGAGCATGGGACGAGGGAGGTGGAGTTTCGTGGGCCCCGAGGAATGTTCCCTGCGAATTTTCTCCCTCCGAGGAATTTTCTTTGCGAGTAGAGAGGCGCTTGCCCCATTTTGCGAAACATAAGAGCTTACAGGACAAAAACAAGAGCTTAGGAATCCAGATAAACATTCTAGTACAATAGTTTTTAAAGTCAAGGTGGATGCAAAATAAAAAAGAACCATAACCAACAAAACATCAAAATTCGAACGCAGGACCCATCCCCTGAACTTGCACAGTCCTGTCTTTTCAACCTCGCCTCAGCCCTGGAAACTTCATTTCTAAAAACAAGTACCAGCTTGTAGTTTCCAATCTGATTTTAAAATTGTCGTTAAAATGAATTTTGTATTACTTATCTTTGTTACTGAGCCACATTAGCACTTCCTTAAATTTTGCTTCCAGCCCAGTTCCTCACTTTTGAAGTGGTCAGTATGCATCTCCTCCCCTAAAACCTAGCCCTGTAAACCCAGGGGGGGTGGAGTCTTCCCCCAGGTCCTCACAGTGTTGCCTAGCTTCTCACCAATACAGAAACTTAGAATCAGGGTGGAGGGTGGAGGGTGGAGGGCAGTTCCTTTCGAGGTAGGTTTGTGAGGTGACCTCTGACAAGGACATTTGATCATAGCCCTGTCTTGATCCTGCTACCTGCTGTCCTGAGCCCAAGACAGAGAGTGACAACCACTTGCTTGAAGACAGTGACCATTTTAACCTTTTTTTAGGGTACTGGGAATCGAACATAGGACCTTGCGCTTGCACTTGCCAGGTAGGCACTTATGCTGCTGAGCTATACCCCTGGCTGATTGTTTTAACTCTAATCTGAGTTTTCTTTTTTTGGGTTTGGTTTTTTTTTGTTTTGTTTTGTTTTGCTTTGCTTTGCTTTAAGAGAGGATCTTGCTATGTAGTACAGGCTGGCCTTGAACTCACTTTGTAGCCCAGACTGAGAAGGCTGATGAAGGAGAACCTCTGTGAGTTGAGGCCAACCTAGGCTACACAGAGTGAGTTCAAGGGCAGCTCAAACTATATAATGAGATGCTGTCTCAAAAAAAAAGAAAAAAAAGCCAACAATAATGATGTTATTTGCTAATCTTTTAACAGCTGGCTAAGTAAACATACCAAATTTTGAGGTGTTTGCCTTTTGGTTTCCAGGTTCTTCTCATCTCAAACAAAGAACTAAACAAGACAAGCAGAAACAGTGGCAAAGTTTATTTGAAAAAGTAGAAGTGGGGCTAGGGATTTAGCTCAGCGGCACAGCGCCTGCCCGGCAAGCACAAGGTCGTGAGTTCGATCCCGGTACCGGGAAAAAAAAAAGAAAAAGTAAAAGTAAGAGAGAAATCGGTTCTGCAGAGCAAACATGGGCCAAATAAAAGAAGGAAAAAAGTACATCCTGAGGAACACAGGGTAAGCTACCATGAGAAAAGCCACAGTAGTCAGCTCTAAGTGGCATCTGTGCCCTCTTTTATTTTTTACTTTTTTTTTTTTGTCTTTTTTGTGGGTAATGAGTATTAACAGAAGAGTCATGACACACAAAAAGGAAAGCAAGGGAGAAAAAGAAGCATGATGCACTCTAGCAATTAGGACAAAGTTACTTGGTGTTGGACTTGTCATCCAACTCTGTCCAGGCTGAACAGATCCCCTGAACGAGGTGCCTGCAGATGTATAAGAAAAAAGAAAACCAAGAGAGCTAAAATTCTGTGATCAGGTGCTAGCAGCCTCTAGTACTGACTGACTCCTAATTACCATCTTCAGTAACCTTTTATTCAAAAATCCACCGAGGAGGCAGCAGAGGAATTGGAGGATATCAACTGTTTTAGCAAGGACAATACAACTCAATTATCGTAGGAATGAGATCTGACCAGTAAGCCATCATGTTACCTTCCTTCACCCATATCTCAGCAAAGCATCTAGTATTGATCCCAGGGCTTACAATGCTTGTGCTAGACTTCCTCCAGAACCCAACAATCATGGCTTGGTCAGGCCGCAGGCAATACACAAAAGAGTAACTAAAAAATGTCCTTCTCCACAACTTGGCCTCTAAAAAGGGCAAGAAATACTCTAAGGGATGTTGAAAAAGAAGCAAGCTGCTTAGAAGTGAGAGGGTTAATAGGGCAAAATATCAGAGGAACACAAGGAAGGGTTGTGTATTAATGTCATGAGAACAAGCAAAAGTTCAAATCCTTTTCATAAAATAGAAAGGGCCCTCGGTGGTGGTGGTGGTGGTGCGGGATGACCCAGGTGTTAAAGCTGGCCCTCAATGAATAGATTCTTAATAGGCTTAGGGACCAACAGGTGTCAAACTCCATGGGGATCACCTGAGGAAACTTGAGAGCAGTTGTGATTACTGGGTTACTGCCAAGGCTGCTCCACCTGCTGGGCCCTGACGTCTCAGAGGGCAGTGAAGGGGGGACCCAAGTGCACAACTGGAGCGGGCCACGGAGCACAGGAGCACTGCAAGGAGGAACAGGGGCTCCCTGGCTTTCAGTCTGTGACCTGGGGGTCATCAGTCCAACCAAGCAGTTCTTTTCCTGCAGTTCCAGCCTGCAGCTCATTCGTGGAGGCACGACAGTGCCTGGAGATGAGGCACACACCAGCAAAGGAGAGGTGCTCACTCTGGGCATAAGTGCTTTGGAAATTCCTTGGAAGAGGTTGGGTTGAAACCTCTGATGACTCATCTGCTAGAGTAATAATAATTGTATCTCTCCACAGGGCCTTGGGCAGATCAGTGTAATTATGAAGCATCATTAGCTTTCACATTTTTCCTCCCACCTCTCAGAAGAGCCCAGGAAAGGATGTTATGAATTCTTATTTGGAAAGTAGGCAATTGCAAATATAATTAACTTAAAATGAGACCGGGCATGGTGGTGCACCCCTGTAATCCCAGCATTTGGGAGGCTGAGGCAGGAGGATCACAAGTTAAAGCCAGGCGAGGGTATATAGCAAGATCAAGGCCAGCCTGGACTATATAGCTAGACCCTGTCTCAAAACAAACAGACAATCAAAAAATAGCAGAGCCTTCCCTAAAGGCTCTAACAATTAAACAAGAAAGGGGCAGGGAGCTGGGATGTAGCTCAGCAGGATAAGGGCTTGCCTGGCAAGCCTGAGGTCATAAGTTCAATTCCCGGTACCAAAAAAAAAGTGGGGGGATTGTTCTAATTTATAAAGGAGGCATAAAACAAGATCACAAAGTGATACCTTCTCCCTTGACCAGATTAGCAAAGATGAAAAACTGCAATGTTGGACGAGGAGGAGGTGTAAAAACAGGTAAAGCTGCTGTGTATGTGAATTGTTGCAGTTTCTGTGAAAAGTATTTGGTGTTTCTGTTACAACTTTACATGATTATGTCTGTTGGGCCTGCAGTATCTTCCAGGATTCATGTAATCGACTGTATTGTTTAGCAGCTTTAGGTTCAGAGCAAAACTGCATGACAGTAACAAAGAATTCCTATATAACCTGCCTACAAGCTTCGCTTCCTCCATGGTCAGCCTCCCACCCAGGATGGCACACGTTATAAATCCGCAGCCTACCCTGACATAGCCTTATGTCCGAAAGTCCATGAATGTGTGTTACAGGTCACCCTTGTTTGTTTTGTGACCTCCCACACACTAGATAAGCTGGTGTTGCATATTCTGTGTTAGACCAATCTATCTGTTATTATAGAATCTTATATCCCTTATTCTAGCAGCATGAAGAATAGTTTCACTGTCCTAAAAATCCTCTGTGCTCTGACCATTTTACCTCTCCCCAACCACTGGCAACCACTGTTCTTTTTACAGTTTTGCCCTTTCCAGAATGTCATCTAGTTGGGATCACACAGAATGTAGCCTTTTCAAGCCGGGCATGGTGGTGCATGCCTGTATTCCCAGCACTTGGGAGGCTGAGGAAGGAGGATGATTGTGAGTTCGAGACCAGCCTGGGCTACAAAGTGAGCTCAAGGCCAGCCTGAACTGCATAGCAAAACCCTGTCTCAAAAAGATGAAAAGGAAATAATAATAATAATAAAAAGAATGTAGCCTTTTCAGACTCGTTTCTTTCGCTTAGCAATATGTGTTTAAAATTCCTCCACAAGCCTGGT